ATTATGTGTATTTGTGTGTGTGTGTGTGTGTGTGTGTGTGTATGTATGCATGTGTGCATATGTGCATACACATACTGAGATTTGATAAAAATGGAAAGACTTTGTTGCTGGTATCAATATCTTTTTATTTTATTTTTTTACATATTTGGTACAGGGTGTCACTACACAGCTTGGATTCGTAGTGATCCTCCTGTTTTCAGCCTTCACAGAGCTGGGATTATAGGTGTACACCACCATGCCCAGTCTAGGTGGCTGGCTCAGCGAGCCTGAGGGCAGGGCCAGCATAGCATGTGGTGCTAAGGATTAAGGAGGTGCTTAGTCTACTGAGCTATCTTGCCAGCTCTTGGAGATCTCTTTAGTGTCTACTGTCCAGTTAAGTACTCTTGATATTTCTGTGTTCTAAGATTTGAACAAATCTTATTTGGGGAAGGACAGGTACACTGTACCTGAATATAAAGTGTATTAGAAAGTTCTTACAAGAGCTTGCAGGGATGGAGCAAGGTTCCTCAAAATATTGCTCATGCTCTGAATCAGATTCAATGGAGGACATAGAAATTTAAAAAATTGGCCTACAGTGACTGCCCACGGAGTCAAAATAGAAGAATATAAAAGATCTGCCCATGTGCTAGAGATCTATAGGATCAAGCTGAATGCCTGGAGCCCAAGGCAATATACCATGGTAGTGTCTTATATGAGTCCAAATCAGGATGCTGTAAGACCTGCAGTGGAAGTCCAAGGGGTCTGTACCATGAAGTGGAAGGGCTGGAGCTAGAAGCTAGAGAGTCTATGCCAGCAGGCCAAAGGGCCAGTGGTGGAAGCTGAAGAACCAGGAGATGATTCTCAAGGCAAAGTGGAAGATTGGAGCTCTTCTGAAGAGAAAGCAGCAAGGAACAGAGCTCATCTGAAGAGAACAGTTGAAGCTCCTCTGATGAAACTCAGCTTCAACAAAGCTGTTTCAAAGAAAATCTGCTGAAATCCTTCCATCCCACTCTCCTTTTTATATTGTTTGACAACAGACAATATTTTATATTGTTTTCCTTAAAATTAATATAATTAGCTACAAGTAACAGAAAAGAGCAAAGCAGAAAAAGAAAAAAAGACCAAAAAAACAGGACAAAAAAACGAAGTAAAAAAGGAAAATACCAAATCACCAAAACTAAGGAAGAAAAATGAGTCCAAATATGTCCTCAGCATGTTTGAATGACTAGTTTCTTTCCAGAGTCTGAAATATTGGAATACATAAGGTACAGGAAAGGTGTAGTGAGTTCCTACTAAGTCCTATTTTCTTTCCAAATTAACATGTTTGTGTTCACATTCTGAGATCTCCCCTATTTTTTCAGTTGGGCATTGTCAGTCAATGTTACCTGTCTTAGGTCTGTATTCACTCCAGCTCTCCCAGTTTTCATGTTCCTTTGTGTGCCCCAAGTCACTTCTTTGCTCTTTTAACTTTATAGCCTTTTGGTTTGTGAGGTGTTCCTCTACTTCCTTGTCAGAAGTACCTCTGTCAATACACCTCAGGCTGTAGCAACTGTCCAAGTGGAGGCATTGTTCTAATCATGTTGGCAGATGAAGGGAACAAACAGCCCATTAAGCTCTGTGTTGGATGTAGGCTTTGGAAGAGAGTCAGCTAGTTTTCTGGATTTAGTGTCAGTGCATTTGAACTCAGCTCCCCTGACTCCCAAAATGACATGCAACCAGCCTGGCTTCTTACTGAAGAAGGCAGAATCTCTGTGTTATTCATAGCCTGAGCTTGAATGTCTCTGGGAGGGTTTATGTCTAGCCTGAACCATCTCTATGACTGTCTCTTGTGGTTGTCTCCTACTTAGATGCTGACTGCACAAAGCCTGAAATATAATTGTTCTATGGTTTCCGATTCCCAGAATAGCTCATTCTTAAACAATTAATCCCCTTCCAAAATGCCTCTTGGTCAATAACTCTCAAATATGATGGGCACTTCAGATTTCTTCTCTAACTCTAACCTTCCACGCAGAAGGAGTAATTTTTGTAGTTTACAACAATGTGGGGTTTTGTTTGGGCTAATGCTGCTGGCCTTGTCTGTGGTTTCCCTCTGGGCTCCCACCCTTCTGTGGGCTTACCTTGTGTTTAGGGAAACAGTTACCATTCAGTGGGAGGTGGGTTAGTGCTCCAGACTGCTTTCTTCTTTTTTGTGTTGCCTTTAGTTTTCCCACTTCCTTTGTAGTTTATAATTTTTGTGTTGGCTTTTCCTTGATTCTTGGAAATGTACTTTTTTTCTTCTTCAGTAAATTTGTGTGTCCCAATTTCAGGTCCTGGAGATGCTACATTTGCCGCTGCTCTTTAATCCACTATTTTAAATTCAAAGATCTTTAATATTTCTATACATAATAACAGATTCCCTGAAAAAGAGATTAGAAAAAAATGTTATTTATAGTAGCATCAAAAAGCTAAAATACTTCATAGTAAATTTAGCCAAAGAGGTAGAAGAAATGCTGAGAACTATAGAACACTGATGAAAGAAATTAAAAATGACACAAATAAATGGAAAGGTATTTTATGTTCATGGATTATAATAATTAATATTGTTAAAATGTCCACATTACCCAAAGTAATCTACAAACCCAAAGTAATCTATCAAAGCAATCTGCAATCCCTATCAAATTTCCAGTGTCACTTTTCTTAGACATAGAAAAAACAGCCCTACAATTTGTATGTAGCCACAGTAAACTAGGAGTAATCAAAAATATTGAGCAAAAAGACAAAGCTGTAACAATCTTATTTCTTAACATCAAAGTATGTTAGAAAGTTACAGCATTACAAGCGTAAAAGCAGACACATTAACTTGGAGGAGGATAGAGACCCATGCACCTATGTTTAATTGACTTTTGACAGAGAGGCCAAAAACACAATGAGAAGACAGACTCTTCAATAAATAATGTTGAGAAAACTAGCTGTTCACACTGAGAAGAATGAAAATGTACCCTTATTTCACCCTTTAGTTCATTAAAAGAAAGAACTAGTGCTTGTATTGTTGGATCAAGTTTGCATGCCTATATTTGGTAATCTGAGCAACTACTTTGAAAATAACATTACACAATATAATAACCATTACTTTCCTATGATCTTATTTTGAAATTATTCATTGTTTTTATCTTTTCATTTTTAAAATTCTCTTAAAACAAAGAATCACCTTAAAATAGATTAAAGACTTAAATGTAAGATGTAAAACTGAAAAATTACTAGAACATTGACATAGCATAATAGCTATGCAGCATGGGTCTGGGCAGAGTCCTTCTATATGACCTCAAAATTTTAGGCAACAAATGTAAAACTGCAAATGTGAGACTGAATAAAACTGAAGAGCTTCTGTATAGCAAAGTTAATGGCAAAAATGAAAAAATCCACAAATTAGGGAAGATATTTGTGAATTATACATCAGATAAAGAACTAATACACGAAGTATTTAAGAAAATCAAACTACTTAGTAATAAAGCAAATAACCCTACTAAAATTAAGCAAACACTTCAATATACATTTCTTTAAAAACACATAAAAGGTCAAATATATACTTTAAAATCCTCAATCTAACTGTTACTGAAATGCAAATTAAAATCACTGAGGTAGTATTTTGTACTATCAGATGACTTCAGGTGAAAGATAGCATGTGTCGGAAGGGATGTAGTGAAAAGGCAATTCTCATGAAGTACTCGGTGTGCAAATTAGTACAGCCATTCTGGAAAGGAACAGGAAAATTCTTTAAAAAATTGAAAATAGAATTGTCACTTGATACAGAAATCTTACTTCTGGAAATAGATCCAAGGACTTGAAATTAGTGTGCTGAAGAAATGTCTTTGATTCCATGTTTATGAAAACATTCGTAGAGCCAAAATTTGAAAGAATCTTAAGAGCCTATTAGCAGATGAATAGATTAGAAAAAGGGGGCTCTGTACACAGCAGAATTGTATTCAGCCTTAAAAAGGCTAAAAGCAATGATGTAATTTGTGACAACATGGATAAACTATATTCCAGTAAGTCCCCAACTTATGAAAATTTGAGTTATAAACCTTCCTATACTGTATAAGATTCACAGATGTATTGTACAAGGCTTACTTTGTCAGATTAGAATGAATCTGACTTACAATCTTTCTTTTGGAATGGAACTCATTTATAAAACAGGTACTTACTGTTCAGGATAGTAAATGAAATAAACCAGGCACAGACCACAAATACCTTCTAATCTCACATATTGAAGGTAAAACTTTAACTCATAGAACTAGAGACTAAAGTGGTTAGAGAAACAGAAAGATGTGGCATGGACAGGTATAGAGAGCCCTTCCTGGTACTCATCTTGGTCTGGGAAGTTTATATTTGTAATCCCATGGAAAAATTTTTGGAATTCTAGCAAGTTATTTCTAATCTACTACTTCTAGTGTAATCTGTGGTGAAATAAGGACACTATGGTATATTGTATTTGTGGGAGCCAAGGGGTCCTAAGTCCAGCTGGGATAATGGCTAACTGGAACAAAGGCCTTGACCCAGGGCCAGACCTGGGTTTTTATTAATTCATGAAGAAAGGAATGGCTATGAGAATGGCAGAAGTACATGAGTGCTGTGATCTGGGCTAAGTAGGAGGACTGAAGTCGCCCCTGTAATGTACAGAGAAAAGGATATGCAGAAAGAGCAATCCACATAGCACAATTGAGGTAGTAGCCAATGTTTTGTGATCAGTGCCTCACCTCTGATGTGTAATCCTTTATGCCCTGAAAACTCATAGCCTGTTTACTCAAGGCTGGATCCAGCCAACAGTGTGGAACATGGCTCTCTATTCCACCCCAGTTCACACATTTTTTGGGGGAACTACAGGGGCAGGGAGACACTGACCTGTTTCTTGCTTCAAAGACTGCACATTAGCACCCCTTGGCTGGACAGAATTGCATTGCTTAAAGCTAGCTGAAGAGATAAGAAAAAGTCATAGTCAGCTCTGTACATATCAATACATGGAAGTAGGACCAGGTTTAACCAAAATGGAGGTAATTGCTCTTCTTTCAACAAGAGTCATCCAGATGGTCCTCCACAGTCAGGGAAAGGAACTAAGAAGCTTTTACCTTGTGTTAGTCAGAAGGTAAGAAGCTTCAGTTAGAAGAAATAAATTCTGGTACAGAGTCTAAGTAAAGTGACCATTCCTAATAATTCTGTATATTACAAAATTGCTAATGTGGTACATTTCAAATGTACTTATCACATATATATATGATAAGTGTGTGAGGTTATTGTTATGTTAGCCTGATTTGCTCAATATACAGTGTATACATGTATTGAAGTATCACTGTACTCTATACACATACACATACACATACACATACATTTATCAGTAAAAGAAAAAAGAACTAATGAACTGTGAATAGTGTGTATACTAGTTTCTTGTTTTAAGAAAGACTTCCATGTGCCTTATGAAGGTTACCATGCATAAAGGCTATACTTGATTGGATCTGTTTCTAGAGTAGTGATGCCAACAGTAAATCATATATTTTAATACCCAGATTTATTGTTTCATAGACTTTATAATATTAAAATTGTTATATTTCCTTATTTAAATATGTTACTTTGTATTGATAGCCAACATAGGGAAACAAATCCAATTGATTTAGTTTTTCTTATGACCATTCTGGTTTTAGGGCATTTATTGTCATTTCTGTTATGAGAATTCTACTTTGCTTATTTAATTAAGGACTTTAGATTATACAACTTTAGAGAGAATGAGAGAATGGTAAGACAAATGGGCTTATGGCAGGCATCTAGACACAGTATTGGCAAACTGTCTATAAAAGATCAGAAAGTAGAAACTTTATGCTTTGTGGGCCACATAATTTCTGTTGTCACTGACCCACTTTTTTCTTGTAGCATGTTAGAAATCTTAGACATTATATAGACAAGTGTATGTAACTGTGTTCCAACAAAACTTCATTTACACAGACAGTAAATTGTAATTTAAGAACACTGATCTACATTAACCTGACAATATGGTTCTAAATTGAAGAGCAGAAGTACCATAACTTTTTTTAAAAAAAATCAACTAAATATTTGAAATTAGAATATTTAAAAAATCTAATGAGCAAAAGCTTATTTTATTTTCTTTTAGGTAGATGAACTATATACTACCTAATCTATAGAGAACACCACAAAAATGGCAAGATAAGGGAATTAGGAATACAGTATAAGTTAATGAATAAGTTGAAAATTAGGTGTTTGTGGATAAGAATAGACATAGAACATAAGACATCTGAATTTTAGAGCAGTTCTAGATTGTGAAGAAGTCTAGTGTTTAATAGAAATGTTTTGCTCAAGTGGCATGAAGGTGAAGATTCTTAGAATTTAAGAAGTTAGGAACCTAAAAGGAGAAAATTATTATGGAAGTGTGCGGGACTTTTCCCTGTTATTTTGGTGATGAGTAGAGTTTTTCCATTCTTCAGCCTTGATTATTGGTAACCTGCCATGTTTACATAGCCTGGAATTGCTAAAGAGAAAGCATTTGCAGCAAGAGGAGGGAAAGGTAGCTTCTTGGTAGTGCCTTTAGTGTTAGGGATGTGGGACCTGGGTAGGGAAGGAATTCAGAGAGTGTGATGATTAGAACTTCCTGAAAAGTCTGTGCCATTGATGTGTCAAGTGGTTGTGGAGGCCTATCAGTTTCACATCACTTCCTAAAGGAGAGGTAGAGGTTGTTGTGGTGACTCCTGGAGTGCACGTTTCTTTGGAGGAAGGGGGGATGTGTGTTTTTTTTTTTTTTTTTTAACCAAGAGGAAGGAATTGGAGAAGAGAATGGGGCTGAGAATTTGGAGCAAGAAAGATGGTAGAAAAATAGACTCTAGAGTCAGAAATGTTGGTGGAGGATGCACTTGGGACATGTTGATGGTTTTCACAACTCCTGCTGGGGGATGCGTTTTTGTGGCAGAAGGAAAGGAGATGATTTTCTCATATGCAGTTTGGGAGCTGTATTCCCAACTAGGAATATGGTATATTAAATTATGTGTGCTATGTGGATAGCAGGGCTGCCTGCTCTTAAATTTCCAATTTTATTTCCTTGTAAAAGGAGCCATATATTTCTAGGCTATGCATTAAGGTGCTGTTTGAATATGTTATATTTCTGTTCTTGGTTTATAGGTGAAATTGAAATGGAAGGAGATGGGCAGTCATGGAACATATTTAAAATTAAAATCTTTAAAATGAAGTCCCCGAGGCACAAAACTTTTACCACATAGTCTCAATATTTGTTTGTACTTTAAGTTTTAACACTTGTTGCATTAGATTGAAGACTTGGTTTTGGAAGATTTTACAGTTTAATTACAGTGTATTTTGATTCTAAAGGTTTACACTGCAAGTTAAAAACTGGAGAAAGAGCTGGGTGTCATGGTGCACAGATTACGGATTACAGCACTTGGAAGGATGAGGCAGGAGAATTGGTGCAAGCTTGAGACCAGCTTGGGCTACAAAGTAAGCTCAGGGCCAGTCTGAACTATATAGTGAGACCCTTTCTAAAAACAAATGCAAAAAGGACTGGGGAGAAGCGTTGGTTAGTGAATTCTACTCAATAATTTTATATAGAGTATTCATTTTATTACTCTGTTTTTTATAAGAATGGAAATAATATATGAATTTGAGGTTGTGGGAATAGCATTTCTAAATCGTTAGTAATGTTTTCTATTGGTTGAGACATTGCTTTCCTTGTTTCCTTTAACTTTTGTCCATGGTTTCTTATAGTTGTTTAAACATAAAACTTTTTTCTACCAAAGTCTATACTTCTTCTGGGATACTTTTGATTAATTTCCCCCATGATTGGGTGACACTTTATTATTTCTTTGTATTCCTTGTAAGTTTTTTTTTTGTCAGAGACTAGACATTTGACTATTACAATGTGATAAAATTCTAGAAGTGTGGTTCTTCCTTTCAGGTTTGTTTTTGTTGCTTGTGTGGGTTGTAGTTGTTGATTTGTTTCATCGCTTTTCTAAACTATGTTGTAATGACTTTTTTTTTTATTGTCTGTGATCTCTGAAGTTTCCATTCCTTTACCTTTGGGGGAGGCTAGTATTCTGATAGGTTTCCTTGATTGCCTGTAGCTAAGAAATATGGATCAGCTCAGTCTTTGCAGATTGGCTCTGTGTTGTGGCACTCCTGGAGTGCTTTAGCCACTTCTGTCTTATCTTCAGTTGCTGCTTGTTCTGAGCCTAGAGTTTACCCAGAGGTAATCTGAGCATACAGACTGCCTTCCGTGTGAATATGGTTTCCTAAATTTCCCTGTATAAATTCACATAGGACTTTCCATATTTTGAGGAATTTTTTTCCTGTTTTTCCTCTCAGGCTTTTGACTATTGTTTGCTTGAACTGTAATATTTGGCCTTGGGCAGCAGTGGGTTATTTGCTTTTCATTGTATTTGAGGAATGACTTCTGCATAACTGCTTTTACATGCTTGGCAGTCCATGTTGGCCAAGGTACGATCTTCAGACTGAATCAGTGAATTATTTTGTGAATTAAATATACAGAATACTAAATGCATTTCAGTTGCTCAGGGGATTAGCATAATTCATTTTGTGGGTTTCCTTCTTGAATTTACCTGAGTAATTGTTCTATCCATCTTCATTCTCCTATGAACTGTCATTTGGATTGCTTTTGATAGTCCCACCTCTAGACACTGCCCATTGTTCCTTAGGATGACTTCCAATTCCCTTAGTGTATCAAGCATTTCATGAGTCTTTAAATCTTTGCTGTCAGGCATTCTATTATGTGTTTTTATTTCTATATGTTCTTGGATTAAATTTAGTATTTTTAAAGCAATTTTTGTCTCATTTTTCATTTCTTGAACTATTCTTAACATTTGGCTTCCTGAACGTATATTGATTGCATAGAAGAAATTGGGATATGTACCTCTTTTCCTCTAGTCTCTGAAAGAGATTGTGTAACATGACAGTTCTTATTTAAATATTTGAAAGAAAATTCAAGTATTCATCTGTGAAACACCTGCATTTACAGGTATTTTGTATATATTATTTTAAATTATAAAGTCAGTTTCTTGAGCAAGTATAGGACTGTGCAGATTTTCTATTTTGTTTTATGTTTGCCAAGTTCAGCTTTAAAATTTTTTTCCATTTCACTTAAATTGATAAATTCATTGATGTGAAATTTTTAATGTCATTTCTTTATGATATTGAGGATTGAACCCAGACCTTTGTACATTCCCAGCCTATCTTATTTTTTATTTTGAGACAGTCTCTTTCTAAGTTGCTAAGTTGCCCAACCTGGTTCTGAACTTCATAGTGGTGGAATACAAGTGTGTGCTACCACTTCTGGCTGTCCTATTTTTTCTATGCTATCAATAGTAATGTCCCCTTCCCCCTTTTCTCCCCCTGATTATTAATATTTTTTTCTTTTTTGCTCAGTTTCCTAGGAAAGTATTAATTTTATACTTCATAAAATCATTTCTTAGTTTTATTGATTCTTTTTTATTGTATTTTTCTTTCAGGAATTTGAGATTTTTTTTGCTTTTTTTCCTTGTACTTAAGTTGGTGTTCCTTTTCTATCTTTTTTTTTTTTTTGTTCCAATTACAATACTTTCTGCACCAATTCTTATTTATTTATTTTTTTTCTACAGTTTTATTGATAAACAGATAGCAATGAGACAGTTTCAAATCAAATCGGAGGTACAGTTTCAACAAATAATACACTGCATATATTCTTCTTAGTGGTTAATTGCTGTACAAGATGCGGACTTGTGATCCTATTTACAAACACCATTAGAAC